ACCCCTGTTTTTTTGGGCCCCCGGGGGGGGGGGTTCCCCCCTTTTGGGGGGGGGGAAGGTGGGGGGGGGTTCCCCTTTTTTTGGGGGGGGGCCCCTTGGGGGGGTTTTCTTTTCCCCTTAAAATTCAAAGAAAAAACCCTTTTCTTTTTTGGGGTTTGGGGGGAAAAAGGGATGGGTTTTGGGGTTAATAGCCCCCCCCCTTGGGGGGGGTCCCCTTTTTTTCCACCCCGGGGGGGGTTTCCCCATTTCTGGGAGGAGAAGGGAAAACCCTTTTTTTTTTTTCCCCCCCCCCCCCCCCCCCCCCGGTTTAGTGCGTGGAAAAGAAAAAATCAGACTTGATCGCGAGCTCTCCTGTTGTTTCCGCCACACGTGTTGTGCCAGCGCTGAGGTTATTCTTGACAAAACTTGAGTGCCCCAAGCGTGCTTTAGTATGGTCCACGAAGAATGCGCGTAGAGAACGCCCCCCATGTGTCTTATGCCGCGGGAGGGATTGCCGCTTGTCTGATTGGAATGCCCCGCCCCCACAAGGACCCAGCTGCGCCCAACTAGGCCATCCGGCGCAGGTCACAGAAGCACGAAACGACGAACGGATGCAAGTCAAGTTTGCGAACAACCATTGGCATAACACCCAAGGTGGTCAGATTTGCGGAACCTAGTAGTTCGTACCTTAAGTTTGTGCGTTGTGTGTGGCTCAGCAGCCTGATGCCTCTGCATGAAAACTGCCTGTCACTCTCCCCTCCACAAAGCGCCCGGGCGGCATCATGAATTCCCTGACCTAGACACCACGAAACAGAACACGACAGGACCACGGGGAGACCCCGGAGCGTCTGCCAAAGGTAGGGCTGCCGTGCTCATGTCTCCGTGTTTTCTAGACTGGAAATACAGGAGTACACTACAAGGCTTCGGAGGTGGCATAGAATAGACAAGTTCTCTCCTCGTGCTGTAGACCGAACTCGAACAAAACTGGTTTTATTCAGCCTTTCCCAAAGTCTCGAGCGAGGCTCTTTCGAAGTAAATTCAGCACGTAACCACGCTCTGTCCTCGCCACAGCAGCGCCGGGGGCTCCTCCTCGTCTGCATCCTCCGCCACCACGGCCTCGTAGAAGCCCTGTTGGCTGATGCCGCTCGGGAAAGCGAACGTCCCCTCGCCCTTTGGCCGCCCTCCCTCGAAGCGGCCCGTGTACACCGTTCCGTCCTGGTGAGGAAAAACAGAGATGGTAGACAAGAAAATAATTAAGGACGTTATCGCGGTCATCAACGAGTGTCCGACAAGACGGGCGGGAGAGGGCTGACTCGGTAGTTTGGGCGAAACTGTTCACCATCGGCGGCCTCCTCTACCCGAGGCTCTTCGAAAAGGTTGCCAATAAAACGAAACAGCCAGAAGTTCTCCAGCAGAGGACAAAAGCTGCGCAGAGAGAAGACCGTGAGAAAGCATGACCCGTACTCGAACCCCAAAAGCGGCATGCCACGCGTTCGGGGAACGTCGACAGGTCATAACAAGACGCAGGGAGCCGTGATCAGGAAGAACTCAACTTTGAATACTAGTCCACAGTCCACAGCAGTAATCTTCTGGTGGTGGGAAACTTTCTATGACCGCATATTTTACCTTGAAGACCCACGTCCCCTCGGTGATGGTGCCGTCGACCCACGTGCCGTGCATGGTGCTGTCATCCGCGCCGAACTGGTACATTCCCTGGCCGCTCTTCTTGTTGGCCACCCAGGTGCCGCTGTAGATGTCCCCCGTTGCCTGCCGTCAGTGTTTTTGAATTGTGTGTGCGCAACACGGGAGTCGGCACGCATAGAAGTCAGGCAACAAGAGCGATTCAACACCGAGGCCATCGGAAACAACTGAGTTTTGTCCTTGATCATCGAGACAGGTTCACCCAACAGCCACTGTATAGCTCTATCCTTCGTCCGTTGCGACGCGGGTGTCGAGCGACTAGGCCATTGAGTGGGGAGAACTGCGAGATGGGACAATACTGGCGTGGGAACTGAATGTTCATCGGTGAGCGTGGTACGCTGGTGGGTACTTTCAGGTTGGCCTCGTTTTTTATTTTTTTGATTGATGGCTGCCGGGGTAAGTTGATTAGTTGCATGAAATATACCACGAAGAAGGGGTCCGCGTCAGTTGGGCCAGCCTGGAGAGTTTTTTCATGTAACGACAATAAACAACAACAATGCATCCAGCAACGCTCATTTAAACCTGTTCAGAGTTCGACATCTATCTGCTAAATACTGTATGGTTGCGTGGTACTGTTGAGTTGAACGACTTTGCTAGACCTCCAGCCATATCGTTCATTCCATCTCTGTGCACGGCGAAACGAGGACGAACCTTGTACACGTAGGTCCCCTCTCCCTCCATGGCGTTGTCCTTCCATTCCCCCGTATACTCGTCTCCGTTAGGATACGTCATCTTGCCGGTGCCGGCTTTCTTGCCGTCCGTGTAGTTGCCCTCGTACGTTGCGTGTACCTGGTTGGTGTTCGGCGCACGATGTGTTCAGGCGTTCAGAACGATTGGCAAAGCCGTGTACTGCTGTAGTGTTCCTTTTCTTTGACCACCTTCGAGAAAACATCCACCAGGAGGCAGTCTTGTGTTCTACGCAGTGTCGACATTTTTCCCACGGAGACCAAATTTCTCCTGCGTTCGCCTGTCTCGCAATAGATGGGAGAGCCCGAACACATCGATTAGCCCAATTCACCGCAAACCACAGGGCACAGTGCGTTGTGTTCTGCAACAGACCAACAAGCGCGACACGTGCCAACATACCACACACATTTAATAACCTCCAGTCTTGTTCGACCCACGTCATCGGCATTTTCCCGATCGGACCACCAGAAAGGTGACACGTCAAGAACCGCACAACACAGGTTGACTGCAACAGAGAAAACACCTGAGGGTCCTCCCCGTCTTCCTCTGCTGGCTTCATCCAGGTGTACTTGCCAGGTCCGTCTTTGATGCGCTCCCCGTTGAAGACCCCCTCGAAGCTCGACCCCTCGGCATAGGTCACCTTCGCCTTCCCCGGTCTCGGCAGCCAATTTGCCACCTGCGCCCCGCATGAAACGCGGGGGAAAGGCAGCAACCGCACCGTTACGTAAAAGTAGTACATGCATACACAACGGGGTTGGATGGCAACGAAAATGTTTTAAGACGCCAAGAGGAAGGGATGTCCTGCCTCAAATGTGGTGCAGGCAGAAACTAATATGGGTGTGGGAGACACACATGTTATGTACAACTACACTGTCACAGCGGGTCAAAACAATGAACAACTTGTTTGGACTATGATAAAAAGCAAGTCTACACAGTGGGGTGACGTTTGTTTTTGGCATCTCCACCGAAACGAGGGGGGGATTCACGTGCTTCGTCATAATGCTGACATTGTTCATAACTTGTTCGTATGAAAACAGGAGTACTTCTGTGCTGTGAGGCACAGCAGTGCCACACGTACACATGTGTGAGGCACAGCAGTGCCACGTACACAAGTGAACTCAGCAGGAACATGCCGGATGAATAGCAAAATCGGCATGGAATTCAAAAGCAAGGTCGAGAAACATCCCAGCGTCAGCCATCGCTTCACTGCTGCGACGGTTGTTGTTGGACGTCTGCAATCGAGGCGGCACCTGACGACCTCAGGGTCAGGATCTTCAGCAATAGTACATGTAGTCTACATCTTTGCTCGCCGATTGCGCGCATCACGACATATGTTGAGCCCTGCTGGCGGTGTAGACTATCCATACAGCAGTAGAAGGGCTTAGAATCGAACATGTGTTAAGCAGCCCTCACCAGGAAACTCTGGCTACCTCATATGCCACAATGGTGGTCAAACCATACCCACGTATGGTCAAAGACAGCGTGATCGACGAAACATGGATGTGGCCTACCGCATCGAGGGTCGCATACATATATCCATGTACCTCGGGTTCGGCATCTTCCGCTGTGTCCAAGTACTCCGCCTTGTACTCCACTTCTTCGTCGCCCATGTTTGGTTATCTGCGTCCTGCTCTCCGCCAGCGAATGCTCAGTATTTGCGCGCACGCCGATGGATAGCGAAGCTTGCAACAACACAACAGACCAGAGGAACGCCATAGAGCGCGCGTGAAACCGCCGAGTGGAACCGTTCGCTGCCGGTTGGATGTTGCGCCGCGTTGAGGTTTCGCCGCATTTTGTCTCTACTGTTTCCGCCGGCCGGTGGCGTATAGCCAACGGCTGAATGGCTGACGGCCGTGGTTGAAAGCAGAAGAAGTGGAAACACTTTTTGCTGGAGCTACAGCCTGCTGCATCAAGGGTTGCGCTTACCGCTGCATATTGCAGCATCAACTTGTATGCGACACAGGCCTCCAAGAGGCGTAGCTTGTGTGGCCACTCGGTAGACGCGAAGGAAAAGAGAACATGTGCGCTTCGTTCGCACCTCCCAAGCACTCCGCGGCCTTCACTGTGGGGAAAGCGGGACAAGATGTCGCTGAGCCCGCTCGCCGGTGAGTGTTGCCTCAGGTAGAACCATGTTGGCCAATCTGTTTGCCGCCGACACGTCACTCGAATAGTGCCAGCTTGCCACGTGTATTGTTCTGCAGAGCCGATCTACGATGATGCGACTATATTATGCGCACAAAACTTTTCCTTTCAGCGGTTGGTCTGCAAATGTCAAACTCGTAAACCGAACTCCGTGACCAGCCGTTAGCTCCAACAATCTGAAGGCACCCACAAGCTCTAGGGGCGGCAAGGTCAGAGGCCAACCCCTGCCGCGACGCACTTTGGAAAGCAATTGTGCCTGCACAAGTGTGCGTCACATGCATAGATCCGACGGTACTGAAACTTGCACAAGGCAGAGGAAATTGTTCCAACTTGAAACGGAGAGGCGCTTTTCATGGTAGGTTCTTTTGGCCCCCGCTGGTAAGGATCGTCCAGAGTTTACTCGAAGGTCCCCTTGTGCCAGTGTTGCAAAAGTGATTGTGCTTTGTTCGTCCCGTCTCTTCTGGGCGCTGGTCTACACGTTCGGCATTTGTTTAACGCACGGGATTGGATGAAAAAGAAAACGCCCCCAACAAAGCAGAAAAAACATATTTAGAAAAAAAAAAAAAATGCGTTTGTGTTCGGTTTTTTTTTTGTAAGAGGTCTCTTCTTTTCTTTACTGCTGTGTAGCAAGCACGGACCAACATCAACACGAACAGCAACCAGCAAGTGCAGAGGTGCTACTGCCGGCATCCCCCATCTCCACGCCTCATTGACACATACGTCTTCCACGCGCACAGGACGTATCACCCTGTACATAAACCCCCGGCGGAATCGCGTGCCAAACAAATCCTCCTCCTGGTGCTGATTTGTTGTTGTCTGCCCTTCGATCGCCCAGGCGAACCTACAGCAGCAACGGGCGTCGAAATAGAAGCCCGTCGCCCCTATCCCGAGAGCTGCTAAACGGCGGCAGGAACGCATTCAGTAGCGAAGACGCCGTCACCCCGCTCTCTACGGCAGGCAGCGGTGGCGGGTATCATTTCGGCTCCGGCGAGGGGACCCCAACCCCCCTTTCGATCAGCCAGTCGCTCAAGGCACGCGGCGGGTACTCCTTCAACGGCGGCGTAGACTCCACCACAATGCCGGCAGCCTTGCCGCTGGTATCGCCGACCGGCGACGGAGGGCCGGCTAGCCCCGGGTTTTCCTCCACCGCTGCTTCCGGCGGCACCACCACCGCCACCGCTGGTGTCTCCAACGCCACCGCGGCCGCCAACGCGATCCCGACCTTCTCCGAGATAACGCGGGGAGCCATCGACCGGAACGGCGCCGTCCCTCTCGAACCCTTCGCGAGGGCGCGGGTGAGGGCCGTCGAAGAGGGGTGGGCGCGCTGGGCGGCGGACCGGCGGGAGCGAGAGAAGCGGTGGTGGATCAGGGTGCTCTCGGTCGTGACGTTTCTCGTCCTCGTCGCGGTCCTTGTCTGCAGGCGGATCGGTGTGGGTAGGTGGAGCTTCGGGTTCGAGACGAATATGTAACGAGGAAGGTTTTGGTGTAGGTCTTTGACGGTTTATTTTTTACATCCTAGGGTGCAATTAGTTTGCTGTTCTCTGTGGCCACGGAGTTCGAGGACCGTGTCCCGCTGGTTGGACGAAAGCACCAAAAGAGGAGGGAATTGTTGGTACGTACAGCGTGTACAGAGGCCACGAACCAATATTGCGATGACAATATTTTTTTTTGCTTCCAGACGCACAATAAATACAAGGTTATATCGGAGAGAATACTGGCCCTTTGCATGACGCTCTCTTGCAGTACTTGCTGTGTTCGATCCGTAGCGATCCATGACGTGTTCACATGAGTTTGGAGAAATAAGAATCGTGTATCTCCGTAAATGCTGTTCCCTCCGAGCGTGTTAGTCATGTCTGCAGAGGTCAAAACACAATGAATTTTTTACTCGCGTTCCAGTACGATATCCGGATCTGGGGAGCTGTCCGCTTCATGAACCTCTCGCTGGCGCGACGAGAGCTGTTGCAACGATGGTTTTTCGTTTAAGTCCAACGTCGTCTTACCCGGCCCATTCGACTTACACGTATCCTGCATTCCACGTTTTTAGCAGCACCATTCAATAAACGCATTGCACGGTGATGGAAAACCGCGTTCTTAAGAACCGTGTGGCCGCTGTGTCGCTACTTTTTCTGATCCCTTATAGGCGTCTCGATCAGTGGCCCAACGGCGACGTTGCCTCCCGGGGCGAAACAGTCGCGGAACGGCGCCCCCGGCGAAGCCGTCTCGGTGCGAGACCTCTTCTCGGCCGCGGTGCACGACATGCCGGCGATCGTCTCCTCGAGGGACGAGCTCGCCGCCGTGATAAAGCTCGCCGGGATCAAGAAGGCGAAGGCGGAGCAGGTGGAGCGGGCGTGGTCGGCTCTCGTTTCGGGGGAAGCGCGCGACGTTGATGTCGACAGCGGCGGCGGCGACGGCGGCGGTGGTGTCGGCGGTGGTAACGGCATCTTGCAGCGCTACGTCAAGGGCGGAGCGCTAGCGGCCGAAGTTCTCGTTGCCGGGGTGCTCCGAAACGCCGCCGCGGTGGCAATTCTGGCGGTGACCCTCGCGGCGGTGGTCGCGGCCGCGGCGTTAGCCTCCCGCGGCTCGCCATCGCGGGGGCAGAGCAGGGGTGAGGGTTTTACTTGCGGAACAGGCCGGGGAGGAGGAGCGGCTGCGAACGGCGGCGGTAGCAGCAGCAGAGCCCGCGGCGGGAACCGGCTTCAAGCGCCGGAGGGTGACGGCAGCTGCGCCGCCTCCAACGGAAGGGCAAATGGGCGCAGCGGCGGCGGTTGTGCCCCCCGGCCAGGAGGTGATGTACGGAGCCCCTCCCCGATGTCCCGCAGGTTGTGAGCGGGAAGCAATGTATAATGTGTGCGTACCTAGCTGATAAATCGCCGCAGAGGTTTAGGCCGTCTTTGTGCGCTGCGCTGCATCCTGGCCGACCAATCACTTAGTCGTGGTGGTATTTTTGTGTTTTGTTTGCCTCCTGCGCATGATGCTTGGCCGGTGTGATGAAAGTCACGGCTGGTGGAGGCGCGGGGATAGTTTGTTTTCATTATTTTTCTTACGTATGACACAGTAAATTCAGCTCCTTTCACAGATGAGCGTCTGGGATAGATTTCGCAATGGGTTCATAGCGTCAGTTGAATTGTGTCTCGTCCCTCATTCTGACGTCGAGGAGAAGGTGAGGGATGACGCTGTAGGTTCCTTTTGCAGCATCTCATCGTGCGTTTATAGCATAACACGCCAGTGGCGTGTTTCGTTTTGAACTTGTTAAGCATCGCGGCGTGTGACCAATGGTAGAGGTCGGTTTGGCCGGGGTCAAGGGAGAGAAGATCCAGCGGTGCATGTGCGAAAACTGCTTGTCGGTTCATGTTTCAAATGTAAATGTCCAACTTGTGGCTGTGGACTGGGTGTGCCCTGTGCTAGGCGTGACGTTCCTGGCAGAGCACCGAGCGAGAGCTCAGTCTTAAGCGGATTGACGCCAGTCCTACGTGCCGTTGCTTAATCGAGCCGAGGCCGTTACTGCGTACAAAAAGTAGGATATGAGTGCTTCGTGCTGCCTACGCGTTAGTTCGGGGCTAGTTGTAAGGTCTATCACAGTTGCATGTATATGTTTTTTAAGAAATCAGGAGAGTGCACATGCGTGTGGGGTTGCATTGTAAAGAGTATAGTGTAGACTGCCTCAACGATTGGTTGAGTTAATGGGGCATGTAGTAGATGTATACTACAGCAATAGTGCGGGCTACGTTTTCAGGGAGCCTGGTGTTAAGAGGGCACCGGGTTCAAGCGAGATATGTAACCTGTGTATGTAACACGGACTTACTTTTCTTGTAGGAAAGCTTGGGGACAACCCTTAACTTGGACGGTAATATTCGATGAAGCCCCCTTATGGAGCAGCCAAGCTTGGAGCAGTGAGAGCAGCTCACGGTTTGCAAAGGCCTCGCCTTGTGTAGCGGGCTCCCGGGACCTGTGCAAACCCGACCCGACCCCACCCGTTGTCAGTAAGGTCCAAACATCTCGGAGTCAGAACCGAGCTGCTAAGATATAACGGTTAAGAAATGACGGCGGACCAACGTGGATGGATATCCAATCGCCGACGTGCGCGGGCATGCCCGATGTTGTCGAACATCCTCTGGGAAAGGCAAAGCTCGCCGGAAGATCGGTGACCTCGGCTCGAGAAAAACGAGGAAGATACGTGCACACGACAAAAATTCTCCGGCGAGTGCTGGAGGAGCACAGATAGAGTACGACCTAGATGGCTTATTGCCGTGCATTGCCTGGTCTCCCGTCCGATCTCATTTTAAGGTGCCCCTCTCTTAAGACCGAATAGCGAGGACAACGTCGTGTTGCACGTCAAAAAGAGCGTGACAATATACCATATGTAGTTAACTGGATCCGCCAGTAAGCCTTTCCGTGGTGAGGGTGCAGCTCTATCCCCCATCAACCCGTTGAGTCAAAAGCAAACCTTGCCCCCCCGTCATCACGGCGACCACTGTTCTTTAGGAGAAGGGCGTGGGTGCGACTACTTCGTTCAACTGCTTTCGTTCGCCTCGGTTACCCGGCGCAGAAATATTTGAAATTACGTCTGCAAGGTACTAACTACTGTATTACATGGACGTCGCCATTTATCGGGAGACTATCTCACTTCACCCCACACGACCTACACGAGCACCCGACACACTATACAACCCCCGCACCCCTCTGGCATGTGCAGGGACAGGGTGTAGTATGCACATGTTCAATGACTCAGGATGTGCACAGGACGTGTAGCTGGCGCACCGTCATGTCCTGCTAGTGCCAACGATAAGCGCCTCGGCGCTAAGCGGGTGGCGGACTGCATCATCAGCGGACACTCACCCACCACTGCATGCACCCCTTTCGTTCCCGCTGGGCATCATACACGAACAGGCGCTTGGTATCATAAAGGAAGAGGACAAGCCACGACCCCCCCCCCCACCTGGCGGCGTCGAGAAGCACGCACGAAAGCTCTTTTCTTGGGTTGTTCAAAGGACTAAACACACATGAGTACATACACCACACATGGATCCGGCGGCGATGCCTCTGCCACGTTTTTTCCGTAGCCCTTTTTTTAGCACGAGCAAACGGTGGCATCCGGAGACCCCTGAGCGCAGACGGGGAGAGAACTGCCGCCGATTCCGCCGCCGAGGCCTCCACTACCACTAGACGTTCCACTCCCGGCCGCCCGGATGTACACCGAGTCCAGAGCGACACTCTCGTGTCGCTTCGTGAAGTCTGACGAATCGAAGACGACCATGGACGGGGATTCGACCGTTTCGTATAACACGGGACACGAATGCGATGAGGCACGGGGGTGGGGGTTGAAACATGAAAATGGGAAGTTAGTACTGGATCATGTGTGTGTAAGCCGTGGAAATCGCCGTGTGTTTTTACGCGTATGTTGCTATTAGTCTGAACCGTTCTGGATATTGTGCCTCTCGCGATTCTGGGATGTAGGTCCTTGGAAACACAAGCAATGTTACAGTTGTAGAGAGCCCATGATCACACGCTTTGGCCTTCGAAACACACAGCCGGTAAGGTCGGGAAGGAGCTCGACTGCCCACGGGGTGCGGTGCACTGGCGGTGCCAACAGCATTGTCCGACAATATCCACCCTTCACGCTGCAGCGGAAACCTCTCAAGAACGTTCTTCCCCTGCACGGTTTCACCCTTTCCCTCAACTACTATCCGGGAGCCGCTTTTTGCCGCAAATGGCAGGAAAGGCCCGGTCGAACACTACTGTATACTTACCCCCGAGTATTCGGAGCTCGCTGAGGTTAGACAGCACCTCCGCCATCTCGCACTTGGTTGGGGGGGCGGCCTGGATTGTGGCGCGGGGGTTTAGCCAAATGGGGAGGGGGGAGCGGAGGGGCGGGGGGGGGCACTTTATTCTTCGGGTGTGATGCCCAGCATCTCAACAAGAACAAAGCGGGATATAGGGTCTAAGAGATTGGGTACTTGTCGCGATCTCTTTCGTTCAAGACCTCCATCACGCGTCACCCATTTCCCCACCAGTCCATGCACGAGCTGCGCTTTCCCCGAACGGAAGTGGGAGAGCCGAGAGAGCAAGGGTGTACACAGCACCGGCCCGATCACAAGAACGTACAAAAATTGAGGAAAGCTAGGCAGAATTTCGAGAAAAAACTCAGGCGGCAAAGCGTAACCGACAAAGAGTTGAGGACAGACGCTCGACGTTTGCCGCACATGACACAGTCAGGGTGAGCCTGTTTAGCTTCTCCTTCGTGATCAGGTCGATCCTCTGTACATCGCGCTGCAGCAATCTTTTCCCGACACAGGAAAAATGCCCGGAAGTTGCAGTTTTCCCAGCCTCCACTCTCTGCATACTACACCACGCTTCGCACCTGCTTCAAGGTATTCTCGGGGTCCTTCAGCCACCCCCCCGTCTCGGAGAGGGGGATGGAGAATGACACCCCGGTTCCCCCGCCCGCGAACCCCCCCGCGACGGACAGGGGAAAGGCCAGCGTCGTCCCCGTGTTTCTCGCGCACGCCGAGCAGTAGAGCTCGACCAACCGGAGGGCGTCGCCGTTCAGGTTTTCTGCAGATGGGGGGGGTGGGGTCGGGTAGGTTAAGCAGCTGCAGGTTAGGTGTGTCGGTACGTGTGTTTAGGGCTGTGTCTTGCGTCAACACGGTCTGTCGTTGGTGCTTATCATGCTGCCAGGGTCCCCCTTCTTCCTCCGTCTCCTTCCAGTACTTTGTGCGAAAGGTGGAAGGCTCGCACGGAGGATACATGCAAGGCCCTGCTGCTACTTGTATGCCTGCTGTTGTTGCGGCATGGGCAAGGGGGAGAACGGCGCGGACGAACCCACCCACCTTCTGAGAAGGTTCCCGAGAACGATCCGATTGAGAACTCCAGGGTCCCCGCGTACGCCACCCCCAGGTTTCCCGAAAAGGCAGAATCGGCTTTGAACCACCACAGCGTGTCGTCTACCCCGTCGGCTGGTCCGTCGGACGGGAAAAGGGGCGCAATCGGCAGGATGTGCATTGCAGCGGCAGGCAGAAGGATGTGCATTGTAGCGGCAGGCACGTGATCAAGGGGAGCAGGGGTTACTCGTAAGGCCCCTAACATGAAATCAGAATATCGTTTAGTCTCCCCCTGGATACACTGATGTCGGAACCCCGATGTTTCGTAGGGTCAGAGGAGGTTGATGAAGAAGAAAATACAAAGAACACGAGAAACATGCACCCGAGTAAGTATCTATCACTTCGAAAGAGAACACGGTAAATCACCATTTGTTTTCAAGGCGACTACTGTGGTGTTCGCGTTTCTGCTCGCGGCGAAGTCCGGTTGCCCGACACTTCCACGGAATTCTGGAAACGGATATCACGCCCAACGCAAGCATTCTCGCGTAAGAGTCCACTCGAAAATATATTATATCTCGAACGACACCAGACACCAGATGCTCCATGTCTCGGGCACATATTCGGTACAAACAGTCGCGTGCCGCGTGCTCGACACCTCCTCGCGTTTTATTTAGCGCGACGATCCCAACCTCATCAATATATATTGTCAACAAAGGGTACGTGACGCCCTCACCGTCTGAGTGCACGATCGTGTCCGACCCCGACAAGAAAAAGCTCAGCAACCCCCTGCTGCTCGGATCGTGCCTCGCCGCCTCGCAGTAAGACCCTCCGCTCTGGCACACCTATGCACGCAACGCGGCGGCAGCAAGCAGCGGCGCGTCGCGCTTGAAAGGACAGGTGCTGACTAGGGCGCGGACAAGCCGCGCGCTTGTTACCTTGTTCCATGTTGCATACTTCTAGCTGCAGAGCAGCCTTGTTCGCGACGGTCGCGCCCCCTCCAATATCGAGACTTCGAATAGGCGTTGTCAGACGGCATCTCGGAAAAATTGGAACCACAACTCTAATATCCGGGGTGGCGTTGCCTGCTATAACTTGTTCTCCCGTCGGCAACGAGTTCATTGGTCGCTTGTGCCCCCGAAATATTCGCTGTTTGTCGTAAATGGCAAAACACCAAATCTATTATTGCCATGTCATCATACCTTCCAGGTGCCGACTCCAAAGTCGAACTCCGCAGCCTCCAGGAGCCCCCCCCCCGACACCAGGTACACCGTGCCGGCCTTCGCTGAGTCGCTCCCGTCAGACACGGTGTAAGTGAAACTGCCATGACGCGGAAATACGAAGGGGCACGGTGGGAAGAAAGGGTGAATGAGCCTAGCGCCTATTGAAGGACACTTTCCTAGGCTCAAGGTTGGCATGTCAGGTTTGAGGATCAATACTACGTGTTGCGGCACGGCCTATGAGCATAGGTTCGATACTGTTCTGCCTGACACTGCGGCGTTGGTGGCACGGTCACGGCGCTCACGGACGACGTTAGTCAAAAATATGAACTGAATATCTTGTCCTGCTGTAGGATAGAATAGTGGAAATTTCGAAATTCGAGCAATCCGTTTCTCGTCCGCAAGAAAGAACGGTGTAGGCACAACCAATCGGGGACACACGCGGAAGGCGTTCGTCGCGCGTGCAGCGAAAGGATCCCCGCATCTCCTCTCAGGTTCTGGCACTGCTGTTGGAAGTTGGGGTCACCTACATACCTTCCCCATCGCCCAGTTGGCTCAGCATCCGCCGCCGGTCTCTTGTACACCACACGATTGCCTGAACCGGTCACTTCAACGCCACCACTTCCAGCGATAACCTCGCCTGCTGCTGGGTCGTACCCGTACTCAGAGTACACCTTGGAAAGCTACGAGGATGACGTGGTCGACGCGAGCAATGGTGATGTGCGTGGTCAGCACGAAATGGATACGCTTTGCAAGCAACAATGTAAAAAACTGCTCCGCTATTATTTTCGCACGTGATTATAGAGGCTGGCCAGTACGTACGATGGCTTCGTGGAGGTGGTACACGGGCCCCAAGAGCTGCTCATTTGTTAGGTACACCGACGAAAGACGTCAGCTGCTCCATTTTTGACAGCGGCCGCCTAGGCCAGTGCCCCCGCCTTACTAGCACAATATTTGGTGCTTTGATAGCAGGAAGCGAATAAGGAATGTATTTTGTTGGTCACCCGACCATGATGTGCAAAGTTGGCATAGAGGGTTGCAACATGGAATACGAGAGGGAGCAGCTTCACGGACAAATCGAACAGAGTTCGACCAGCATATCAGGGACGGAGAATCTCGTGCTATTCGACGCATCAACGTAGACATACAGAGCCTTGTCATAGGCGGTGCCGTCGATGGCCTACCTGGTGAAGGGTACCCGATTCCGGCAAAGACGATATGGTGGCAACGAGATCGTCCCCGTCTAAGTCGTAGCCAGACAAGCGAATCACTGCTTCTCCCCCGGGAGACACAGAAACCACTTGATGCAAAGCTAGCGGAGCTGGTGCAGTGACATCCGCGCGATGCAGTGGAGCAAGGATACAGAGAGGGCGACATAACGTGTGGTTGTAGACATAGTGTGTAGACAAACTTCACAATGTTTGGGTTGGCGCTACCAGGACACAGGTACACTTGCCACGGAAATACGTTACTTGTCCTTCACCCCCTCATTTTGTAGCCTGCAGATGAAGTTCCATCTGAGCCAGAGGTTGAGGTGTCATCATGAAGCTGGGTGCTAAAGAGTAGCAATGCGCATCTGTAGTCAATGTGGTACTCATTCACCAGCCCGTTGGGGCACTCTCTCTCTGCTCGGCCAACAAAAGAAGTAACCCGTGCAGCCGAAACAGGTTCAGCCATGAAGGAGGCTTACATGACTATCGAGTCGCACGCTTGCAAGAACTACAACTGTAGGGAGGGCATGGGAGGGCATTGTTCTTGTTATCACGCATGTACCCCATGAGTTTGATGGAACACCCCGCAAATACATAACAGAACCGTCCACAGTCAGTCGTACTGTGTCTCTGGACACCCTTGGAGCTCTACATAGGGCAATGGCACTTCAGCACGCAGGCCGACTACATGTATTATTTGTGCTGCTTCTGTGCATACAAATACAAACACATACTTGGAGTGCATGCAACGCCTTGCTTGTAGCCCATAACTTTTAGAAGCAATAACATGCATGCATACCTATTGCTGTTGTTCTCCATGTGCACGAGACCAGAAAAGTCAACAAGGAGGGGAGACCGACAGCAGTGCTTCTTGTTCTCCGCGTCGAGCTCGTCCTCGTCCTCGACCTCGCCATCCGAGGGCAGAGCAATGCGGCAACGCCGCTCCTGCTGCTGTTATTCCTGCTGCTGCAGCAGCAGCTTATGCCGCCAAATGGTGCTAGTTGTGTCGGGGGTGCGCGTCCTCGTTTACGGCGCTACCGAATTCCTCCGCACGACAACAACGAAACCCCGTCCTCGTCGTCGTCGTTTGCCGTCGAGAGCAAAAAAGTGGCGTTACAATACACGATTACACCGCCTCCTGATTTTTACAACGCCCGCCCCCCTTCATTCCCTTTGTGGGATACACTCTGCGTGTCCCCTAGATCGTATTCAAGCTCTGTCATCTCTCGTCACCGGGTGCAGGACCATCCTTCACGCGAAACAACAACCCTTTAGCAGTCTTTTAAGAGCCAAGCTACCTCCACCACCATGAAGTTTGAGATGGCTGCTACATTGGCGTTGGCCGCCGGGTCTTCGGCGTTCGTTGCTCCCTCCGTTCCCTTGAACACCCGCGTTGCTTCGTCGAGCGCATCCTCGAAGACGAGCATGATGGCGGGAGACCGGTCGAAGTCGCTGCCGATGCTTCCCCAGCCTCCTCTGGTAAGAAGGGCAATAAGCGAGAGGTCTGGCGAAAACAGAAGCAGATATATATGACGTGTTCGATGATTTGGGATCAATGCTTTGGGTAACGAGTGTGTCGCTGCCGGCATGCACGAACACCACCTGCTGTCGTTTTTCCTCTCTACGGCGTTGTCTCCGGTTTGAATCACCAACAGCAGCAGACAGCAGTGGAACAGCGATGTTTCATGGCGAACTTGATACCCTCACTTAATGGCACTAACACCGGTATCAAGCATTAGACTGCTGTCGACTCATCGCGCCCATTCGTGAGAGCCTCTGCGGACAATTTTTGCTGTCCTTCCCAAGGACACAAGACGACCCCGAAATGATCTTTTTTATCATGAACGAAAAACCTGACCATCCACACGTCATGCTTTTTCCTACAAGACAGATCGCTGAAATGGCAACGGCGTGCTATGTATGTCTGAGATTGCGCAGGGTAATATTCCTCCTGCCTGTGTTCCTCTGGTCACGCGCACCCTAGATGGGAATGCCGGTGTTCAACCACCACTCCTTCTGTATTTCCCGCTCTTGGTGCCCGCTACGCACGCTGTTTCGAGCGCAGCAGCGGGCAGCATCATCTGCGCCGAGAACGTGCATCTGCGTGTCCCCCTGTTGTATCGCACGTGATTCTGAAGCTCCCAAATGTAGAACGCTTCCTAACACATGCTTGCACAACTCCTCTTCCACCGTAAGTTCTCTTGTCATGCGCTGATTTATTTGTTTGTTGTGCTCCCGGGCCAGCTACTAGAAAGACCCGCATGCATGTGCCTATCTGTACATATATCCTGCGCGCACGAATACGTGCGTGTGGTTACGTACTTCGGTAAGTGGGAGCGGCTCTGCTGTTGTACAGTAGCGCCAAATGCGTGAGGGACGTGTGTACGCAGCGCCCCTTGCCTTGGCTCCTTATACATAGCGAGAGCCCTGTTCAGCGGTGGTCATCTTGGTAAATGACGTTTTCGCGTACAGTTCGGGCCTGCGCGGTGAAAAACAAGCTTGTGTAGGTAGCCCGTATCTCAGACAGGAAGAAGAGTGGTGGTCACCCAGCCTACATACGATGAGACTCTCAACCGGCCTGATACGTTTCCCCAACGATTGTGGCGGAGGTGTGCTGCCGCGGCACCCCTTTTAGTTGTGTCCGTTACTTGTTGGTGACCAACCCTCTTGAGAAAGACGTTGGCGTTGGTGTCATGCGCTGCCGACGAAGCGCTTGTATGGCAAAGCTGGAACACGAAATACGCAGAACGAGATCCCCATGCTCTGATTGGTCTATTTTGTCATCGCGTATCCTACATGGATGAATATTTTTTCGACGCCTGTCTGCTGCGCACGAAACCGGCAACCTCAAGCCGTACGTACAAATGCTCCAAGCGGGAATCTATCGAGCTGCCTAACCACCAAAAGGGAATGCCACAGGGTCATTGTTGGTGCATGATGTTCCGCCCTCTTGCCCACCTATAACGGGCAGTCCAGACAAAAGAAACTTGAAATCGGTTTTCTCTCGCACCAGTCCCAATCTGCCGACACCCTCCTGGACGGATTTTACGGCAACAGTTGATGGCGTGCATGCGCTTGCCCCCCCCCCCCCCCCCCTTGAAGCGTGCACAACCCCATCCACCTGTTTCCCCACATCCAAAAATCAGCAGCAAGTCATGTGCATACGCGTGCGCGGTTGTTTTCTAACCTGTTTTTTTCACATCTCCTTCCTTGTTTTTTTCTTGCGCCGTCCCCTCTCGCCTATCGTCTTCTTGCTACTCGTTGACATCATGGACTGCGTTGGGCTCCGCCGCTGGCGGCGCGTTCACCTGCCACACCGGCTTTTATTTCCCGTGCGCCTTGGCGGGGGGGGGACTGATCCGCCGTGTACTCTTATGCGCACTGGGTTCCCGGGAAAAACCGGACAATGGATCTGTGCCTGTTTCACGTGGCGAAAACCACAATTTCAACACACACCGACGCGCGAAACGTGCGTGTGCTTGCCTGGACTTCTTACACACAACGGCGGTGTGTTTCCTATAACATCTACTGGATGCGAAATCTACATGAACGGGGCGGGAACAAAAACAAACAAAAAAAACGCCTTCCCCCCCTCTAGCTGGACGGCTCCATGGCCGGCGACGTCGGCTTCGACCCGCTCGGCCTCTCCAGCATCGCCGGGCTCGCGGGCGCGGACCTGTACTGGATGCGCGAGGCGGAGCTCAAGCACGGGCGCGTTGCCATGCTCGCAACTGTGGGCGTGCTCTGGTGCGACGCCTTCGGCTCCCTGCCGGGCTTCCCCTCGGGCGTGAACCAGATGAAGCTCTTCTGGGAGGTGTGGGCGGAGAAGCCCCAGTACGTTGCGGCCGGGATCATCTTCTGCGGCATCGCCGAAAGTGAGTTTTTAGCTCAAAAGCAGCATGTATTAGTGTGTGTGTCGATATTCACTTGTCAAGTAGGCAGGCAGTTTTTCGTTTTTGTTAAGAGAGCCGAGATGGTTTTGAAGCAGTCGAGTGAGGTGTGTGTGGGTTGCTGTTAATGGTTTGTGGTTGTGTGGACCCACGCGAAGGTCGTCTTGCGGCAGCAGCAGCAGCATCGTCGCTAAACTTGGGGGAGGAGAAGTGCACAAGGAGTCAAAGTTTGTGTAAGGTCTCGCCTAGGGCTTCGAGTTTGAGTCCTCAAAACTCTGGTTTGCGTGTTGGAAGCCGTCAACCAAGGTTCGGCATTGGTCCGGTTTGCTTGGAAGCATAAGAATCGTAAGGTAGAGGGAGGGGACAACAGGGCTGGCACGCGAAAGCTTCGCACCAAATATTCGTCGGTTTTTGTTGTCGCTTGTATCCACTCCTTAATAACCGGGATATCCCGTTGTTCCAACCCCGTCCCGGGGTTGAAAGCAGAGTAACGGGGTTTTTATGGCTTCCATACCGGAGTAGAGAACTTTGGATGGCGGGGGAAGGGCATCAGTCCGTACTCTTCCATGCATGATTGGTTTCGGGTTAGCAAGACGGTGTCGCGTCTGATGGTGGGGGTTAGGGCCCCATTGTGGGGGGGTGTACCATAGAAAGGCGAAGGATCGCACGCCTTCCAGGCTGAGTTCCATTGCTCGATGCTGCTCCAAAACCAAGAGAGCGTGTCTGCCAGTGCCGACAAGGGTGGTACTGGAATGATGTCGTAGAAAAATGTCGTCTTTCAAAAATGTAAGAACTTTTCTGCCTCGTATCGGTCGGCTCTCGCACCCTCGTTCGCTGTTGTGGAGTATTTAGTCGAGCTTTGAAAGACGGTCTAGGTGCGGTGCGATCGCTCTCGCTGCTGTTGAGGCACCCTCTCTCGACACTTCCTGGGTACGAACAGCGCACGCGCCGTGGTAGGGCGAGGTGCCACAGAATCAAAACAAACAAATAGGACGCAAAAATAGCAGTCACGCCCATATATCCCAAATCCGAAGAAGCAGCTGGCACGGGGGGAGGCGGCCAGCAAAGATGCAGTCCCCCTCTGGCAAGTCGAAACATGTGCTACAAGTGTTTCGTATTTGGGATGCCCGCTTTGGAGAAGTAGGTCGGCGTTTCGTGTATGCTTACAGACGACGGAAGAGGCGGCCTACGCAGCTATAGATCGCTCATTGGATATATCGGAACGCAGACATCATGCATGCAAAATCTCTCTATCAACACAACCGCGTCCCGCGACTCCTGGAGGGCCCGTCCTACACGAAAGATTAACGAACCGCCCCCCTTCCTTTCCTTCCGCGCCTCCCTGCTATCCCCCCCCTCCCCGCGAACCGATTTACTGGGAATTTGACTACTGCTCAAAAACAGTCATCTCGGGAATCGCCACGTCGTTGGGCCAGGAGTCGGGGGACCGGGCACCGGGAGACTTCGGCATCGACCCCCTCAAGCTCGACAAGAACCCAGAGAAGAAGGCCAAGCTCGAGCTGCAGGAGATCAAGAACGGCCGCTTGGCCATGTGGGCGGCGGCGGGGATGATCATGCAGGGCCTCACCACCGACGGGGGAGCGATGGACAACCTCTTCGTGAGTGTTTTTTTTTTTTTTTTGTGCGCTTGTTTTTTTTGTTTCTTTTCGATGAGCCGAGGAGCTTTTTCGGGGAAGCTTTACTCGGTACGTTGCCGCCTATCAATTGCGAAATACCATATATTTTTTTTTTTGTAGATCTAGGGAGTCTGCCTGCAGCGTGGACGTGTATTCCATCCTTTGCTGTGATGTTGTGGTATCTCGACACTGCGTGTATTTTTTTTTTTTTCGTCGCCCGAATCAATGTTTCGTTTATGGTAGTTCTACCGCAAAGACGCTCGTCGCGGAAGAAGTGGTTTTGTCCACCTTCCAGCATGATTTCAGGATTGCGTAGTGAGCAACGGGCCACGGGGGGCGGGCTCTGGGAGACTTGTGCATGCCCGTTGCAAAAAGCCGCGTCGCGCTTGTGGTAAGACTTGGGGGGCAGTATTTGGCTGGATTCTGTTGGTTTGTTTATACGAACTGCTACTAACCAGATGCCGTGGGTAGGTAATGCTGAAACACTCCCAAGTCGTCAATTGGGCACTCGCTAGTCTACGTTCAGGGTCTATGCACACATCTGAAGCGCTTTTTTACAGAAAGACTCACGTGGGTTGTCCACTCCCCCCCCCCCCCCTTCTCCCTACCGTGTCCTCGCTCTTTCGTACCCCTGCCTGTGAATATGCTGTAACCCTGGCCGCCTTTCCTCAATTTTTGTTGTTGTCCCGGACACTTCGATGCGCAGGGCTAATTTAGTAACCGGACATGACGTTTGGCTGCCTCTGGGCCTGAGGTCCTGTTCGCATCACATCGTGGACGTTGTGAAAACGACGGCTTCTTGTGGCCTGCTATCATGCCGCTTTCGGGAGGCGGGTTGGGACAGGGGATGCTCGGGGAGGGGGGCAGAAACGCCACCGTACGTTGTGCTGCTCCGCCTTACTCCACAATCGACAAATGAGCACATAGCACATGGATTGTGTTGTTGGTTGTGGATACCTCTCGGGAGACTTGTGCGCCCTTTGGACCAGTCGGCTAGATCGGGTATTGCCTTTGTGGTGGCGGTCGAAGCGTTGAAGTTTGTGCGTGCACGTCCAGCGTGAGAGTTTATTGTTTCCCGTACTAACCGTGATTCGGAAAACCAAAGTGCTGCAGCCACTTTGTTTTTCTGATGTATTATCTCGCTACGAACAGGCGCTCGAAGTAGTCGTTTGGACCATCGGTGGCCCTGCAGACTAGCAGCTGGGAACACGCCCCGATCCCTGCGTCCTTTCTCTTTGCAAGGTTTTTTAGTTCGTATTGTTGTTTTTGGACGCACGCGCTTGACTGTTCTTGAAAGGATTCGAACAGGCATGTTTGCACACCCCATAGATGTCGGCACGTATACGGTAGCATTTGCCACAGGGTGGTTGCCACTAATTGCGTGTGGGCTTTTTAGATGCGCCATCCGTTAATGGTTTTCGCAAACCGTCAGGTACAACACTTGTTCTCTGGTTTGTCCAAGAGCAACTTCGAACAAGACAGTGGAACCTTTCTTTGTCGAGTTCCTTTTGTGACAAAACTCTCTTTTTGACAGCGTGATGAATCTCACACAAGTTTGGTTGCACGATTCTGTTGTGCTCTCCGTGCGTGCGTGCGTGCGTTGTTGGACGTTGCCGCTCGTGCGTGCGTCTATGACAACCATCCGGGGTCCAACGAGCAACGCTCGCTGAAAAAGTGTTTGCCCCTGGTTTGCTGTTCACTTGCCCCACCTACCGCCGACGAAAGTCAACCATGTTGCCCTCGCGCGTGTGTGTAGTAAAGGCGGTGTGACATGAACTGCTGTGCGTCGTCACCGTTTGAATTGGTTGTGACAATATCCTACATCTAAAGCAGGCACACGAGACTTTCCTCAATGGTATGCATGTGCGTTCATGACTGATTTATTGAGGCAAAACTATATTGATGGGTGGCCCCGGTGGTGAATCCTCGTACCCTTCCGACTCTCTAGATTGCGGGTTCAAATCTCTCTGGAGTGAAAAAAAATCAATGCGGGAAAAGCGTGCGATCGTGAGTAACACGAGATGAGGGAGGACCTGCAGAAACCTCCTCGTAAAAAAGATTACGTTGTAAGCACCGCACGAAAGCATCACCGCAGGGGAAGCAAGGAGACACAAAATAAACTCCAGGGTGGCATCGGCTCAGCGGGTGCGTCAAAAAACATTCATGCACCGCACTGCGCAAGATTGTCAAGATTCGCGCCTCTGGAATAGATTGGACGAAAACACAACACACAAAGTACAGAAGAGTAATCGTGGGTTGTGCTGGAGACTAGACAGGGCTGAGTCGGCGGCCAACCATACTGTGCGCATTGGTGCGTATCAAGGTATCAGACCGAAGTGCGAGTGGCTGCATGTACATGGACATGCGCATGACATTTTTTTTTTGCTCCTCCTCCCCAGAAGCCAGAAGGGAACGGGAACCATGAACCACGCCAATGTGTCGTTTCGGGTTGGCTAATTCCGCCGCCGCCGCGTATGTAATCAAAGGTGCTCCCGTAAACATGTGTCACTGCTGCTGCTGCGCTATTGCTGTGGCATGGCGATGGGACAGATGCATCTGCTTCAGGGGCATGTCTGCTTCCCTCACGCTCAACCGAAATTCGAAACAAGTCCCAGGCTCCGGCGCTGCCAGCGCTGACGAGGCGGCGGTATCTGTCGTCACAAGGGGCTTGAGGCTCTCGCGAAAGCAAACGACGTGTACATTGTAGGCGTACAACATTTCCCTTGAGCTTTCATCATGTACTCTTTGCTTGAGGCCGCCGGGAAAGGTGCCCCTACCACCCCTGCACGAGACCGTTCATCCTTAGCAGGGCCACCGCCATCACGTTTCGACAGCACCGGGGGCAACAGCATCACGGCCGGGTGCTTCTTGGGTGCTGCCGCAGCCGCTGCTGCTACTCCATCCACAGGGCCCCCACCCGTGACGCTTTCGACTGCGGACACGTTAGAGGTGCCCGTGGGCACGAAGAATGCCGGGTTGTTCGGGGTTCGGCAGCAGCACCCTTTGTTGGCGGTTGGTGGTATTTCTCGCAAGCGGGCTCATGCTGGTGTGAGCCAGAAGACGGCCCCGCGGAAAAATCCGAAGGGGCCGGAGCAGCCAGGGCAAACCGGCCGGAATACAAGCATCACAGCTGTTGGTCTTGACAAGCAGCAGCGGTCGCAGCAGCAAGGCGTGACAAAGACGTGCAAGCCTACAGACAGCTTTGAGATCCCTGCCATGAAGATTCTTCCTGGCACCGGTAGTATAGATTCCGAGCGCTCGCCTGATGTTGACGTGATGGGCACGAACGGAGGAGGTCAGGCGTTCTCTTCAGCCCACCCTTCGGATGACGAGAACAGCCAAGGACTGTATACCACCGACGTTTCTTCTTCCTCGCTTCATGAAGAATCAAGGCTCGACGGAGCGGCTCCCGTGGTTGTCTCGCACGATAGAAAAGAGGAAGGGGTGGCAGAGGAGATGGCAGTTGATGGAATTGACGCGTCATTTGGCAACCCGCCAGCTTCCACCAGGCCGCTCCAACCATCTAAGGATAGCTTCGGCAGTTTTCAGATTCCTGGCCCAACATCGTTTCTCATGAGCGCAGAATCGCCTGAAGAAAATACCGCCACTACTTCGACTTCGGTGCAGCAGGAGGTCCAAAGCTCCCACGACGGCGGGGCTTCTACGAGGGAGGAGCGACAGTCTACGCAGCAGCATCACCAACAACAACAGCAACAACGTTTAAGAAAAGGAGCTCACCAAAAACCGGCGGACCCAAACGGAAAGAAGCGCGTAGGCAGGACAAAACCTCAAAAGGCAGGCGGCAAGCTCTTGTCGTCTCAGCGACTCGACGGGATCATGGCTGCATATTCGAACAACAACCTTGCCCCGCCCATCTTGCCAACGAGCGCCGCGGCCACAAAAAAGGAGACCATGGCCGTGAAAAAAAACGGGGCAAAGCGGACTGTTGGTGGAGGCAGCGGCGCTGGCGGCAACAAGCAAGCGAGGAGTAGTACCAGGGTCGGGGCGGGCTTGTCGGAAGACGTGCCCGGCGGTGGCGGCACCACATGTTGGAGGCAAGGGGCAAGCAACAGTGCCGTAGCGAGAGCGGCGGCAAAGGCGGCGGAACGGATGACAAAGCTAGAGGCCTTGATGAATGCGGCCATGGAGAGCCCGGTGACCTACGAAGAGCAGGTCCGGCGGGAGCGTCTGGCCCACCTACGAGTCATGTACACGGTGAGGGAGCCAGGTGGACGTGTAGGATCTTCATGGTCGCCTCAGGGCGTAGTCGAACACGCACTTTTTGCAAACGATAAAGAGACTGCCGAAGTAGCGTGGTTGAGCTGCCACTTCGCTTCTACATTCTGCAGGGGGTTGATTCGCTTGAAGCGAACGGGGAAAAACAAATTGTGAGCCAGGCGTACAAGGTGTGTAGAGGCTGATTGATTGTTATGCTGCAGGTACACGGCGCTCCGGAACGTCTGACAGCAACTCGAAGCAGTCCCCTTCCAAGCCTTTTCGAGGTGCTGCTGCCAAATCGCCAAACACGTACCACGACAAACGTAAAAAGGGTTGGCACGTTTCAGAGTCACATGCATCGGTGTACGTGTAGCGGATGAGGGAGAAGCATGAGGCGGTCGGCCTTGTCGTACAACGAACAGGAAGGCGTGCTTCGCCAGGGTATCCCCTTATGCACACCCATCTTGCCGCACTTCGCACTGTGGATTTAGAAGGCAGACCCAACCCTGCCTTGAAAGTGCATAAAGCATGCCACGAGTTTAGATGGAATATCGAGCCGGCAGTTCTGGACGCTATGTATGTCATCACCACACACGAAGTATTACGCGCCAAACGAGCAGAAGCAGAATACACCCAAGGCTGCTTGGCCTCACGCACAATAGCTCCCAACTCACCCCTTGAGAGAGGATTGGGCAGTTGATGCTAGACAATGACGGAAACCTACGGGCGCGTGACTGCTTTCGACGCTCACCACCCTGTCATTTTCCTTTTTCCTCGGGGAAATGTTATCATCCCAAGAATGAAAATCTTGAGCTTGCGTATCATTCTGTGCAGATCATGTGCGTGTGTGTCTACCCACCCTTCCTTGTTGATTATTTCATCCGTGTGCTGGAGTTGCTTTGGAACACAACGTTGCGTCACAGCCCAGCGGCTCGCCAATATCTATCAGTTCTTTTCCTCGTGTGTCGATTATTGGGCCCTCCTTTCGCTGCTGATTTTGCTTTGGAGCACAACCTGGCGGTTAGCACCCTGGCTCGTCTACGACGACACCCCTGTATGTATCTCTGCTGTTGTTGTTATTATGTATCAGGTGGAGAGGGATATGGCGGAGCTACCGGTGGACTTTCTGCGGGGGGTCGGCTACGAAGACTACGGCATGTAAGAACGAACGAACGCAGGCGGGTACTGTAAGTGATGACAGGAGAACCGTGGGTCCTCTTGCCTGGAACAGAAACAAGTAAGAATCCGAGAGAAACAGGCACGGCCAGAAATCCAGGATACACTACGAGAGCAACTTTCGATCGACACGCAAACTTCTCCCATGGAAGAAACGTGCGAATACACCTCGTAGGGCCTTCGCAGACGTCCGCCTCTTCTGCCGCAGTCTCGGGTGTTACCCTTATCACTCAGCCAACCAACGACCTCGGACCTCACAAACGATGCGTATCCCACAACGTCACTACATCCAAAAAACGAAAGACGCCCCGGCGTACTGTGCCAAATGGGCTCCGGGTCCAGAGCTCTACAGAGGACGCGGGACCGGTAATTTGGTTGCCGTTGCCCCCCCCCCCCCCCCCCCTTGGCCGCCAAAAAACCCCGGGTCGGGGCTTTTCCCCCCAAAAAATCCACCCTGTGAGAAAACCCAAGGTATTCCGCAAGGGCCCCCCGCTCGGGAAATCCCCCCCCTGGGGCAAAAACCGCCCGCCTTCCAGGGGGGGGCGGGCCCTTGAAAAAACCCCCCCCCAAAAAATTCCCGAAAAAAAGCCCCCGGGGGGGGGGGGGCGGGTTAACCGGGGGGGGATGGGGGAACCCCCGTTTCCTCCCTTTCTAAAACAAATTTCCCCCCCCCGTAATTTTACCCCCAACGGGGGAAAATCCGGGCTGTTTTTTGGTTAAAAGTGGGTCCCGGA